CATGTTGACTGCATGGGCTGGGATCGAACCCACAACCTTCTGGTTGAAAGACGACCACACTCCCTCACAGCCACAAACCCCCCTTCTGTCTGTCACATGGCTGCTCTAATGAGAGCTGTGATGACCCTCAATGGCTCTGGGATAGAGAGCAGCCTCTGAGAGAGAGATTGCACCAAATATAATGGACTCATTCCTCATTGAGGTAAATGTTTTCAATGTGCAACTTCAGAGATAAGAGAGAATAGTGATGAGGACATAATGTCAGACACAGTTGATGAATATAAAGTGTGAGGATGTATCTCATCCAAAAGAAGCCTTTAAATAATCACGGTTTACAGTGGTACATATAACAGAGGACAATCTTTATAAGTTATAAACTAAGGATGATGTGCAACATCCCACCAGGACATTCAAACTTCTACAACTTCAATTTAGTTGTGAAAACCACGTGGAGGGCTTGGCTTCTAACTGAAGAAACACCACTCGAACAAAAGCCATTGAAAATCATACTCCAAGGTAACACTGAACACAGCCACCTACCTAAACACCAGCTGCCCTCCCACTCTAATAAATCACATGAACAGTTTTAAAGGTGAGCTTTACTTGCCCAGAGATGTTCTCCTTACATTCTGCTTTTTTAATTAAAGCTTGGATATAAGTAACATCTTAACATGTTATAATATGTTTGTTAAGGTTAACACTTAACCCTCTTCACTGTTACATTTGTTGGTGTATAACGTTAGAAGAACAGTAGTGATGCAGCCCTGGGTGGCTCCCAAGCTCAAGGTTCTAAGTTCTGATGGAGCCACTTTTAACACTTGGTTAAAGTGGTATCATCTATTAATGAGAAAGTGGAATTTAAAAGTCATTTAACTTCTTTATTAATAGATATGGCCGAATGGAATTACATGCTCAACTCAAATCTGCAAATAAATGACGTGCGTATGAGGTAAGTCCTTTCAATGCTAGGATAGAAAATGCACCATGGGTAAAACAGCACATCTCTACTTCTGTTAACCTAAACAATGATAGCTTCCAGCTCAGGATGGACCATCCTCAGGAACTGCTCCAGGATAATAGTCTCTGTTATTTCTTTCAAAGTTGACTTCTCTGGCTTGACCCATTTGGGGAATGAAAAATGAAAACCCTCTCTCTTTCCCTCCGTACCCAAAAAACGGGGGAACAACGGAGCTGATCCAGATTTTTCGTCATGCGAAATGCGGACCCACGGCACTATCAGAAAGTTGCTATCAGAAACAATGCCTGTCTGTGTTTACATGAGCATCGCTAACACTCAGAGCTAACGCTGTACTGGAGAGAGCACGTGTAAAACTGCAGTGAAAAAAAAAGGAACTCACCTTGTGATAAACTCGCAAGAGAAAAAGCATTTGAGCTCCATACTGTTTCAGAAATAATCCTTGATGTGGTTTTGAACATGATGGCGTTTAATCACGGCAGCATTTAACTGTATCTGCCGGGTAATTCTGAACAGGCATTAGCTACCCCTCCTCTTTTTTTGATCTGTTTGGTATTTTGAGCAAAACACATCATAGACGCATTTTTTTATATATTTGTATATATCTGAGACCCATAATATATGGTTAAAAATAGCATAATAGGAGACCTTTAACTTGTTAATAGTTTTCAGAGTCTTTCATGAACATCATAACTTATGCACTTTGAGCTTTACCAGTGAGCAAGGGAACAAGGCGCACAGCCCATCCATCTCTAGCCCAGCGGCAGACATGTGCTATTCTCTCAAACGTAGTCAGGAAATGTTCGATGTCATCCTCTGGGGATAAAGCGCTGACCATGGCAAAAGACAAAAATGAACTGACACTGAACACTGGGAGACAGGGGAATTTAAACACAGGGTAACAAGACACAGGTGGTAATAATCAGGGGCGGGGCTGACGCTGATGAGCACAGGAGACACAGAAGGGGTGACGGGTGAAAACAATCAGGGCCGGGGGCTGGTGCTGATGAGTCTGGAATGACAGGTAAACGGTGAGTAACAAAACAAAACAGGAAGTGGAAGACAATACAACAT